AATAGTGTGTGTGTGTGTGTGTGTGTGTGTGTGTGTGTGTGTGTGTGTGTGTGTGTGTGCTGGCGCGCGCGCATGTGTATGTATATTTCTACTTTTTTAAAAACAAAATATATATTTTTAATTAATTATATTTAGAACAACGTAACCGTGTTTATGAAGGTTATAATAAAGTTGTTAAGTAGTTATAATAATCCAGCGCATTATCCCGTCATTAGATAATTTATTGGACGTGCACTGTTAGAGCGTGATAATTAAAGGCTGTCACAGTTTTCTAGGCGAGTAGTTAGTTCTCATTTATAAATGAGATTATAATGAATCGCGGGCGCAAACTCAATTTCTTCGAAGTCCCTAATGGATTTGTCACAAAAGAATGTTAGCTCCGGGAATGGGAAGAGTTTGGGGCTCTTTTAATCTGTCTTTACTGCTTTCTCATTACCTAGAACTCTTGGAATGAAGGCTCATTGAAATAAACGTGAGGGCTAAATTAAATGGACGAAAGTCCGATATTGCCTATTTATGTTGCACGTTTTTTCAAACCTGTCTTTACTTGGCTATTGTTGATTACATAGAAATGCATAGGATTATCGTACAAAATGATGAATAGCAAAATTCCATTTATTTATTACGTGGAATTTAATATTTATATGATAAACGAAATTATTAAAATATATTATGTTTTTTCATTTGTTAATTATATGAATTTTAGGACTAAATAGTTATTTTAAACATCATTAGATATAAGATTTAATTAAAATTAATATTTCTACATTTACATAGATGTTTTGATATTGATTTATTTACAATGCTAATATTTTCTGTATATAGTATAAACAAAAAGCTGTTGTATATTGTTTAATAAATAAATGTATAATGATTAAATATAATATAATGGTTAAATTGAGTTTTAAAAGTTAGAGGTTTAAACTTTCATGAAATATGCGAAAATAAACCAGTCTCTTAAATCACATCTAAAAGTTTATAAACATGTAATAGACGATAAAATTCTTTTTAGGATAAATAACTGTATGACATTTATAAGAAGGATTTATTAATCTTTGTCGTAACAAAATACGTATCTTAATTATTTATCTTTAATTCTCGGAGTTGAATGTTCATAAAATTCATAAAAGTTAGTTAATTTTTATGTCAACAATAAGCACATTTCGAGAGTTCTCTTTACGTGTGAGTATATTGATGCGATATTTTTTGCAGTTTTCGCGGTCTGGCAATATGTGAAATTCCAACTCTTCGTGATGGCGTATATATATATA